GCTCCCCATTAGTCACTGAACTCTTAAAACTGGTATTGTAACATTATCACAATGTTTTACAGTACGATTCTTAACGGCAAAATTACAGCTATGAAGTAGCAACAAAGGTAAGTTTATGGTTGGGGTCACCACAGCATGAGAAACTGTATTAAAGGGTCGCACGCAGCATTGGGAAGGCTGAGAACATCTGGTTAAGTAGAAGGGGACAGAGGTTGGAGAACAGAGATGAACAGTAAGAGGAAGTCCAGCTGGCTACCCAACAGAGTGCCCCAGGCCACCGAGTCTTGACATGCCTGCTGCTCAAACCACATGTCTTTGGAGCCATCCAGATGAGAAAGCAATAAAGTGCTTCTCAGGCTGGACTCAGCTGGGGCCTCTGAGGTTTCTGAGTCTAGGAAGAAAGTCTTACCCCAGCTTTGCTTCTCCACAAAGGAGTACTGGCAGCTTGTCAGTTCAACAGATGTCTATTGTGTCAGTCTCCACGCAGCCAACAATGGGGGTTTCCCTAGTCAATCAGCAAGCAGTCATCGATAAGAGCACACCTGTGATCCCAGCATTCTGCAGGCTAAGGCAGGGAGCATGCATGTTCTAGGCTAGCCTGGGCTACACAGTAAGATTCTATCTCCAAACAAAACCTTGATAGTCATCACAATCCATAATAAATGATTCAGAGAATGAGCAGAGAAGATGAAGTTCTCCCCACGGTGAAGTGGTCAGGATGAGGAGAGATCCAGGCAGAGGCAGGAAGACCAGTGTGATCCAGAAAGACAGACCAGTGGAACCCAGATAGGCCAGTGTGATCCAGAACAACCAGACCCCAGAGTAAGTGGACCTGTAAACCACTGGAACACAGACAAGCATATAGGGCCTTGAAGGCTGCTGTCTTAGGCTCAAGCTTTATGCCTAATTGTGCTGGCTACGTTTGTGTCAAGTTGACACAAGCTAGAGTCATTGGAGAGGAAGGAGCCTTGACAAATTCCTCTATAGTATAGCACTGTAGGAAAGCCTGTAGGGAATTTACCTATTTAGTGATTGATGTAAGAGGGCCCAGAAGAAGGGCCACCACTGGGCGGTGGTCCTGGGGTCTATAAGAAAGCAGGCTGAGCAAGCCATGTGAGCAAGCCAGTGAGCAGAACCACCCCTCTCATGGCCTCTACATCCTGCTTCCAGGTTGAGTTCCTGCCCTCACTGCTTTTGATGCTGCACTGTTATGTGGAACTGTGAGTGGAATGAACCCTTTCCACACCATGTTGCTTTTGGTCATGGTGTTTCATCACAGCAATAGTAGCCCTAACCAGGACACTGATACAAGAGGCACCTCTGAAGAGTTTGATCCAGTCAAGTTAGGGTGACATGATCTCCTTCGGGAGTTTTAAGAGCACTCTGGAAGCAGAATGTAGACTACAATGGAAGAAAGTTTAAGGTCTGTACTCAGTCCCAATCACCACCACCACCACCATCAAAATAAAAGCACACTGAAGGAGCAAACGCTAAGTGAGCTAACATAGGAGGGCATGAGAGTGATGGGCACAAGGGACGTGGGGAGAGATAAAGACAGGCGGCTGGGTCTGAGAGGCATCATAGAGGGAGAATGGACCAGACTTAATGTTGGATTAGATGTGGGAGGTAAGAGGTCAAGATGTTAAGTTTGAGATGTCAGTGCAACTGCCACATAAAGAGAAAGCAGATGTACATGGCTGGAGCTGAAAGGGAATTTCAGAACTCAAGGTGTAAATGTGGAAGTCAGCTAGACATGATGGCACACACCTTTAGCCCCAGCACTCAAGAGGCAGAGGCAGGCAAATCTCTGTGAGGCCAGCCTGGTCTACATAGTGAGATCTTATCTCAAAAGTAAAATAAAAGATAAATGGACACTGGGAGCACACACAATTTCATTTCATATAAATCTCTGTGGATAGATGAGATTGCTTACAAATGAAAAGAAGCCCCAAGATCCAACCCTGAGAACCAGCTGCATTTAGACCTCTGATAAGGGAGAATTAATTGGCATGCCAGGAAGGGCAGGAGAGTGGTGTCATGGAAGCCAAGGGGACACACGTGAGTGGGGGCTTGGCAAGATGGCAGTCTTCAATGTGATGGTAAGAAAAGCGTGGCTGGGTGCTAGGGACAGATTTGAGCTTCTTGTTCATTTATTACTAGAAGCAAGTCATGCTGTGCATCCACCCTTACTTGAAGTCAAATAAAAGTGAAGATGTTTCCAAGGGAATCTCGCATCACTCTGCCAACTGAGTTAATTTCCCAGGAGTCCATTCTTGCCCAACTCCTCCATAAGCCTACAGTTCTGGCTGCTGGGACACCAATATCTTTAACTCTAAATAAAGCATTAATGGCACTGTTGGGCTCACATGATGGCCTGTTTTAAAATGCTGCTTGTCTTTGCCTTTTTAAAAAACACAATCATGGTTCAATCCCTCACCTGCCACCACCAGCTCCATTTATTTTAATAACTATGTCCCCAGTGAAGCAACATCAGGAAGAGATCAAATCCAGAACATCAGAGTAAGCAAGACTGGAGTTTTTCCAAGGACCACAGACAGGAGAAACTGTAAGAAAAAAATATATCAAGCCACTAGATGGAAGTCTTCATTCAACTGCCTGTGCATTCAAAAAAGACATAAGCAAGGGGCCAGAGTGTAGCTCCATGGTAGAGTGAATGCCTAGCATGTAAGAGACCCTGGGTTCAATCCCCAGCACAAAAAAAGGGGGGAGGAGTTTAAAAGAACAGATGGAGTGGGAGCAATGGCTGAATGCACAAACCAATCTAATTCATCCAACACTCATTGAACAGTTGCCTTGTCCAAAAGACAATTAACAATGATAATAATGGCCGCCAGGTGTGGAATACTCCCCCTGTGCCAGGCCGGCTGCTGAGTGTTTTCCACACGTTGAGTCATTCAGTTCTCACAACTAACCCAAGGAGGAAGTGTTACTGTGGATGAGGAAACCAAATCTTAGTGTTACTTACTCTACGGCGAGAAGAAGAGCTAGGTGTAAGAAGAAGAGTGTCAGCCGGGCGTTGGTGGCGCACGCCTTTAATCCCAGCACTCGGGAGGCAGAGCCAGGCGGATCTCTGTGAGTTCGAGGCCAGCCTGGGCTACCAAGTGAGCTCCAGGAAAGGCGCAAAGCTACACAGAGAAACCCTGTCTCGAAAAACCAAAAAAAAAAAAAAAAAAAAAAAAAAAAAAGAAGAAGAGTGTCGTCACCTACAGGCTCTTGATACTGAATAGGGTGGAGTGATTCAAACACAATGATGATGGAGCA